GATCCATCTGCCCCCCACCGGTATTTGACTGCCTCCGTCCTCAATTGTTTAGCCACTGGTGCTAGTGGTCTCTGCTCCACTAGGGCTGCGAACGGGAGGTCTCCATAGAGGGACACTGTATTGCCTTCGAATTGAACGCTTCCTATTTCTCGGGAGCGGGCCATGATCGTTGAGTGGGTTTGTATATCTTTCGTGACCGCTATGACGTCTCTTGGGGATTCTGCTGGCGCTGTGGCGGCTTTGCATATTCTAAATGCGATTACTATTTTGTCTGGCTCAGTGTGCAACCTTATTTCCATTCTGGTGAGAAGGCGGGATATGTACCTCAACAGGGCATCTTCCCCAACTGTCTCTAGTAAACCTCTGATGCAAATGTTTCACGTTCTGTGGCGGACCTCCAGCGTTGTGACCGTACTCTTGAACTGCTGGACCTGTGAGCATAGACCCTGCACAGCATCACTGGAGATCTGTTGCTGGGCGTCTCTGGCGCTTTCTCTGGCTTCAACTTCGGTGAGCCTCTTCTGGATGACCCCCATCTCCTTCCTTGTGGTCTGCAAGTCTGCCCTCCACACCCCCCCCCCTCATTTCCTCTAGGAGATCTCTAATATCCCTCTTTGTGACTGGGGATGAGTCTTCCTCCGCTTCAGATGCCTGACACTGGGCTCCGTCTTCTACCTGAGATGAGGTGGGGCTGTCTCTGACCTCCTGGGAGACATCCGAGGCTTCCTCCTCGCTGGGTGCGGTGGGCGCCATTTTGGTTGGTGCCGCCAGATTAGGCCTCGTAAGGGAAAGCCGAATGTTGGTTGTTTTAAGCGGTTATGGAAGGCGGAATTTCTTGTTTTTTCGCCCCATGTCCGTTACTGTGTGGGGGCTGTATTTGTTGCGTTTGGAGGGTCCTGTTTGCGGATTTCTGGTCTCTATATCGGAGCTGCACAAGAACGTGTCTTCCTCGTTAGACAGCTGGCCAAGCCCCGTCTTTATTTAATTTTAATGTAAAGTACTTTTTCATCTGGACCTGATTTGTTACTGTTAGACTCCTGGACTCCACACCCCTGGTAGGGATAATACCACCTATACCTGTTGGATTAAGCAAACCTTATTTTGCTCTATCCCATGTGAGTAATATTGAGTGAGTGCACATTTTTACTTTCTTTCTCCAGTCTGTCTGACATACTGCACTATATCTATTTTATTTCTTTTTTTATGTTTTCATGAGAACAACCATTACCATTTAGAAAGCTTATTGGAACTATATCACAATATATCCATAGGCGGGGATCATTCAACCAAGGCATTTAAATTGGAACTAGACTTAAGTTCCTTAAAAGTGTGAGTGTAATATGTTATCTACCTCCTCTAATATCAAAATATCCAAACTTACTGCACTATTAGTTTCCATTACCTCTTCTTTGTTGTTTCATACACATTTCAAGGACACTTTTATGCAGAGGCGGTCCTCTTATTAGGCGCTTTAGGCGGCCTCCTAAGGCCTCGCTCTGGCTGGGGCCTTGTGGCCGCCTAAATCACCTAGGGGGCCAAGTGATTTGTTGGGTCCTCGGTCCATGATCGAGGACCCGACATCGGGAGGGGGCTGGTGGCTTGCTCTGTGTGCCGCCGGGTGCGAGGCTCCTCCCGTCTGCCCAGAGAGCCAGCCTTCAGTCTGCAGCTCCACAGGGTGTGAGCTGCAGGCTGAAGTGTCTTGCGACCCCCAACCAATCAGAGCGTTGCCGCGAGTTACCACAGCGACGCTCTGACTTCTGGAGATGGTCTGCAGCTTACACCCGGTGGAGCTGCAGACCGACTAGAAAGCCCACCGGACCACCAGGGAGCAAGGTATTTCTCTCCCCAACACTGTCCCTTTGCCAGCCCCCCATAACTCTGCCATCCCCCTTACTCTGTCACCCCCCTAACTCTGCCACCTGTTACCTCCCTAAACCTGCCACCCGTCACCTCCCCTAACTCTGCCACCCGTCACCTCCCCTAACTCTGCCACCCGTCACCCACCCTAACTCTGCCACCCGTCACCCACCCTAACTCTGCCACCCGTCACCCACCCTAACCCTGCCATCTGTCACAACCTCCCACCTGTCACCCCCTTCAACACTATGCCCAATGTCACCCCCCCCACACTCTGCCCCATGTCACCCCCTAACTATGGTACTATTTCTTTCATTAATGAGGTTAGTGGGTGCTTCATGTTTGAGTTTCACCTAAGGCCTCGCAAAGTCTAGAGCCGACCCTGCTTTTGTGCTACATTAAATGAAAAAGGGTTAACACAACTGTAAGTTATTTGCAATGTTATATTCAATAATGAAATTTCCAGAGAAATTACAATTCCTATTTAAAAGACAAGAAATGGTGTAAAAAATGGTTATAGTCTGCTTATAATAAAATGCATCAAATAATAATACACTGACACTCACAGTTGAGGGTAATTGTGGTTCAGGGGGTGTAGGAACCCTCTTTTTCTGTTCCTTCATGGACTCTTCATAGGCTTTTATACCCTCGTTGACTCTGCAGCACAGACACAAGTCAGATAACTTTACAGATAGAGATGTTATTAGACACATACAAATGCAGAGCTTCAGATAACTACTATTTTCATGGTAAGACATCAAAAGTTGTAGTAAAGTGGATGAGGTGCCTTCATATAATGAAATTCATTATTATTTAACTAAAACTGAAACTCCTGCTCTTAACTGGATTAGTTTGGGGAAATTAGCATGGGAAAAAAAAGAAAGTACCCCCTTTTTTTAATTCTGTGGTTTTACATATAATGACATAATAACAATCATCTGTTCCATAGCAGGTCTTAAAATTAGGTAAATACAACAACATGACATACAACACCGATTTACTGAACAAAAACAAACCCATGTGTAAAAAATTAAGTACATCTTATGATTCAATAGTTTGTACAACCATATTTAGCAGCAATTGCTCGAAGTAATCGTTTCCTGTATGACTTTACAAGTCTCTCACATCGTTGAGGAGAAATATTGGCCCACTATTCTTTACAACATTGTTTTAGTTCATTGAGGTTTATGGCATTTGTTTATGCCCAGCTCTCTTAAGGTCCCACCACAGCATTTCAATCAGGTTGAGGTCTGGACTTTGACTGGACCATTGCTTCTTTTCTTTTTCAGCCATTCTGTTGCAGATTTGCTGGTGTGCTTGGGATCATTGTCCTTTTGCATGAACTAATTTTGGCCAAGCATATCCCTCAAATAGGGTTTTTATAGCAGTTTAATGGGGCATTCACCTCCATATACAGTTGTGCTGAAAAGTTTGCATAACCAGGTAAAAAAAATCTGAAATTTTGGCATTGATTTTGAAAATAAGACTGATCATGCAAAAAAAAAAAAATAATGAACTCTATTGAAAGATAGTGATCATATGAAGCCATTTATTATCACATAGTTGGTTGAATTCTTTTTAAAATCATTATGATAACAGAAATCACCCAAATGACCCTGATTAAAAAGTTTACTTACCCATGAATGTTTGTCCTTGTTACAGACACACAAGGTGACACACACAGGTTAAAATGGTAATTAAAGGGTTATTTTCCACACCTGTGGCTTTTTAAATTGCAACTAGTGTCTGTGTATAAATAGTCAGTGAGTTTGTTAGCTCTCACATGGATGCACTGAGCAGGCTAGATACTGAACCATGGGAAGCAGAAAAGAACTGTCAAAAGACCTGCATAACATGTAATGTAATGGAACTTTATAAATATGGAAAAGGATATAAAAAGATATCCAAAGCTTTGAAAATTCCAGCCAGTACTGTTCAATCACTTATTAAAGGGATTCTCCAGTGCCAGGAAAACAAACCGTTTTGGAAAAAGACGGTGTGGTTGTTTCAAGGAGCACAATATGACGATACTTGAACGATACTTTGCTGCATGGTCGAGTTGCCAGAAAGAAGCCAGCCAATGCCACAAACAAGACAAGTTACAAAATACCCGACAACACCTTGACACGCCTCACAGCTTCTGGCACACTGTAATTTGGAGTGACGTGAGTAAAATAGAGCTTTATGGTCACAACCATAAGCACTATGTATGGAGAGGGGTCAACAAGGCCTACAGTGAATAGAATACCATCCCTACTGTAAAACATGGTGGTGGCTCACTGAGCTCTAAAGGCACGGGGAATCTTGTGAATTTTGATGGAAAGATGAATGCAGCATGTAAGGAGAAAATACTGGCAGATACTTTCAGTGGCGTACTAAGGGGGGGCGGAGGGGGCGGTTCGCACCGGGTGCCAGCAGGGTGGGGGTGCCTTGGGGTGGGGCGCCGCCAGGAGCGCCGGCCCCCCTCATGCTGCAGCAGCTCGAGCGCTCTGCAGAGAGCCTCAGGCGGCTGCAGCTTTGCCCGGGCTGGTGGGTCCATGAGGGTGCACCGCCTGGGCGCAGCCTGAGGAGAGGGGCTGACAGGAGGGAAGTGCTCAGCACTCCCTCCTGTCACTCCCTCCCTGTAGCGTGGCCGAGCCACCATGGGCAAGGAAACCACTGTCGAGGGAAGTGCACACCCGCAGCACCCTCCCAAAGAATCCCGGCCGGGCACAGGAAACAAAAGCTCCCTGTACCCGCAGACCAATAGAGGGTTCGGCCAATGCCACAACTGGAGGTAGGGGTGGGGAGAATAAGGAGAGATGGGGAATAAGGAGAGATGGGGAGAACAAGGAGAGATAGGGGGGGAATAAGGAGAGTAGGGGAATAAGAGAGATAGGGGGAATAAGGAGAGATAGGGAGAATAAGGAGAGATGGGGGTAAGGAGAGATGGGGAATAAGGGAGAGATGGCGGGAGAATAAGGAGAGATGGGGGGAATAAGGAGAGATGGGGAATAAGGAGAGATAGGGGGAATAAGGAGAGATGGGGGATAATGAGAGAGATGGGGGATAATGAGAGATGGGGATAAAGAGAGATGGGGGAATAAGGAGAGAATAAGGAGAGATGGGGGAATAAGGAGAGATGGGGGGAATAAGATTGGGGAATAAGGAGATTGGGAGGGGGGAAGAAGGAGACAGGATAAGGAGAGATGTGGGAGGGGGATAAGGAGAGATGGGGGGAGATAAGGAGAGATTGGGAGGGGGAAGGAAATTGGAGGGGGGGAGAGAAGGAAATTGGAGGGGAGGGGGGAGAGTGACATTCATCACACACAATGCACCCCTTGCACACAGAAAAACACACAATGCATTACACACAGACACACATACACAAGCAATGCAACCGTTACACACAATGCATTCATTACACACACTCAATGCACCCCTTACACACACTCAATGCATCCCGTACATACACAGAAACACACCTTGCAGCCCTTACACATACAAACACAGATTCACACAATGCATTCCTTACACACATAACAAGACATCCCCTACACACTCCACCCCCTGTGAACAAGCTCATTGGTGTAACATGAAGGTGGACCCTGGGACCCAGACCTTGAGCTGTGTAAAGGGCCCCCAAAAAATTGAGCTGCTTCCCGTTCTCCCAGAACATTGATTTTTGTGACCACAGTTACAAACCGCTTCCAGAGAGCCTGTTCTGCACCAGACCAGTGGAGCCAGACTGCAGCTAGAGCCCATCATCATCCTCATCTGGTTGTAAGTAGGCAATCTAGTATATTATTCGTGGCACTAATCTCTAATTTACCTCACATTAAAGAAACACTATAGTCCCCAGAACCACTGCAGGTTAATGTAGTGGTTCTGGTGTCTATAGCCTTTCCCTGCAGGCCTTTTAATGTAAACACGGCGGCACTGCTGCACTGGCGTTAGATAACATGGCAGATCATATGGGTTGGGCATTGTGATGTCACATGGGGGGGGGCAGCAAACTTTACTTTTGCCTAGGGCGGCAAAAATCCTTGCACTGGCCCTGGCTGGAGGGGGCTGTGTGAGCTTTGGCCGCACAGTGCCCCATGGTAGTTACAGTACAGCTCACACAAGCAAACAGCTGATAAACTGGCCGCACGGAGGAAAAGTGGGGCGGAGCTAAGCAAAATCGGAGGCGGATCCAAACTGGTGCTGGGGGGCGGGGATTTTTTTGGGGGGCAAGGGGGTGCCAAGCACAGGATCCGCCCCGGGTGCCAAATGCTCTAGGTACGCCCCTGGATACTTTGCATTCTTCTCCATGAAGGCTGTGCGGGACGGACATGTTGCCATGTTTTGTTTTACGATTCTCCCATTCTGTTATAATCTACAGTTAAATATAAATCCCATAAGAAATAAAAGAAATGTGTTTTGCCTGCTCATTCATGTTTTCTTTAAAAATGGTACATATATTACTAGTTATCCAAAGGTATGCAAACTTTTGAGAACAACTGTATATATGCGGTTTTACATAAAATCAGTCATCTATGTTAGCAGCAGTAAGTATATATGTTGTTTGATCAAATGCTGTCTGGTGCTACCATATATTCTTGCCTTGTGCAAATACCTCAATAAAAATCATTGATGGGACTATATAAACTGTGCCCTTCTCTCTAGCAGCTGTTGACCTCCATTTCCCAAGAGTTGCTACACCTTGGGCTGGGATTATATATGACTGGGTTTGCTGTTGGGAGTTATGGAACAGTTTGTTTGTGTATATTTGACACCACTTATGATTTACCACATGTCTCTTATGTTTAAGTCACCGTGTGCCCATTATAGGTGCAGGGTGTGTATAACTGTTTATTGTTAAATGTTTTGTATGCTCACTGTGACGAAGTGCCCTTCGCCACTTGTGCCTGGAGAGGACTGCTTGCCCGCCTCTTGCCCTGTGACTATGGCCCCTGGGATGTATTGCCCTTTAAAGACATGATTTGGGCATAATGGGTTTGTGTTGTGCTGCTGCTGGCCCTTTTAAGAACCATCTGGGGACATACTGTGGAGTTACTGGGTGGCCACCATTTCCTGTATCAGAAGCACATGGTGAGAACAATGGATGGCGGCCATTTTAACTCACAGACACTGTTTGGACTTTTCAACACGGTGCCATCTCGACAGTATTTGGTGCACAGAGACATCGTGCAGTGGTTTTGGACTATACAGCAGGGGACACATTATACAGTAATTGTTTTTCATTTAGCCTGTATATGTTCTGCAGAATCTGCATTAAACTGTATTTTCCAAAGTACTGAACGAATCTGGGTGAATTTTGGATATGTGGTTCACCCAGATCCCCCGGTTCCAAGGATATACTTTTTATGGGGTTATTGCATGTTTTGGGGTCCCTGTGTGTTTTATGAAACTGTATTATATCTGGCCAGCAGATAATTGAGCTTTGTGTATTGTAGCAACTCAATTATCTAGCCTGACCCAGAGGAGGAGTTTTGTGTTGCATAAATTGTGAGTTCTGTGTGCCAGTAAATCAGTCTTGTTCCAGCATTAAGCCTTGGCTCATGTTTGGGGGAAGGGATACCTACACTCTGGGGATTGCTATAATCACTTACTCCCCAGAGGAAGCTCTTGCAATAGCTTGATTTGTTCCTGCTCTCTGGGGAAAGAGAGGTTCACCCACTGGAAGCTGGATCCTGGCCTTGGGTCCAGGGTGGGTGGAGACAGCAGAGACCCCGGCGCAGTTGCATCGCTGGAAGTGGCGTCTGCAGTGCTGATGGTGTCGGTTGGAGTGCTTGGAGTCCTCAGCGAGCACTAGGAGCATCGATTGGCGGAGGTACTCAGTCGGAGTGCCAGCGTTCCGTCACACTCACCTGTCCTGCTGTCCTTTCTACCAACAAGGAAGACTTAGGTAGATTCAGGTATGATTATTGTTTTTATATAGCGTCAACAAATTCCACAGCGCTTTACAATGGGTAGACTGACAAACATGTAATTGTAACCAGACGAGTTGGAATCACAGGAACAGAGGGGTTGAGGGCCCTGCTCAATGAGCTTACATGCTAGAGGGAGTGGGGTACAAAAAGGTAAGGATAGTATTAGATAAGTAGATTGATAGAATAGTATTCACTGAAGACTTAATGTGTGGGGTTTTTTTTAAATGACTGTTGCAGGAGAGGAATTAGTTGGGAGCCATTACCGGTTTATTTTGATAAGCATTTGTAAAGAAGTGAGTTTTTAATGATTTTTTGAAAGAGTGGAGACTGGGTGAGCATCTAATGTAGAAGGGAAGGAAGTTCCACAGGAACGGTGCAGCCCTAGACAAGTCTTAAAAGAGAGTGTAGCAGAGCGGCAATAATAAATCCCACGATCTCCGCTGGTTCAGAAGGTAATCCACAGTCAAGCGCTGAAAAGCAAGGCAATATCCCAAATCTCCCAGTAACCGGACGAAACACAGTTCTGAGAGTCAACGAAGGCTTTATTCACAGGCTCCACAATTTATACAATTCCCCATGCAAGGGGTTTCCTGAGTCCTATGCCAGGGGTATTCCCAGAGTGGACTACGTGGGGAACTTACATTACAGAGCCTTTCACCCATCAGGCACTGCTGCACGAGAGGGATCCTCCCACTGGAATATACTTTTAAGTGGATTATCCCTCCGTGCAGCAGAACCGGCAATTTACTTTAAAATACACCGTTTTTCGAATGTTAGGTCTATTTGCACGAATGGACGTTCGGTAGATAGCTGCTATCTGAACGCATCATTAGTGAGATTACCGCTCAGATCCCAGCTAAAACAACCGAACGCCGCACGAAAAACATATTCATTAAAACCCACACTTAAAAGACCGATTGCTGTATAGGGAATAAAATACCGAACAGCCTGGAAGTCCAGCGGTGTTCGCGCCGTCGAGTAGCCGTTTTTAGTACCACGCGCTCGACGACCAAACACCGCTGGGGAACAAAGGATCCAAGATGGCCGACAGCCGCATGGTCGGTAGCCGAACGACGGCCACCTCGGAGAGCCTCTAATTACCGATTGCAACATTGTTGCAATCGATTAACGAGCGCCACGCGTCTCTCAATGTGTGGGCTGTTACAGGGTGGTTATTTCGGTTCACGAACGGCCCACAAAAGGTGCCATTCGTGAAAAACGAAAGGGAATCGGCTATCTGCTGTCGGCAGATAGCCAATGCAGGCAATACAAAGCTACACAATCGTATTACATTATACCCAGAAACACACATAACACGAAAATCATACAGGCAACCCTTAAAGCGATAGTACTTAAATAATGTCCAAGTGG